GAGAGAGAGAGTTGCTCTGTGTGCCCTAATACCATATAATGTCTCTTTCATTGAGGGGATAAACAGACTACAAAGCCACCTCAATGGAAACTTAATGAATCTATTAGCAATGCTTGGTTCTGCTCTCCTCCGTCCTCAGCCCTGAGGGGGCAGAGACACTTCAGTAACCAGCCAGTCTAGAGGGCCAGTAGCCTTAGGTAGTACAGCTTCTTCTCTACAAAGACCTAGCTCTTAGTTCTCAGTGGGACAAGAGAGAGAGGAGTCGGGAGGTCCAAAAGGATTGTGACCCCACTGACCTCAGCCCCCCGTACCTGCTGGTTCACTCCAGGGTCACCATCAACATGTATACCAATGATATAAGAGACCAGGAATGAACAAACACGTTTTACATTGTTAAAGCTGCAATACAACATGTTTTTGACAGGGAAATAATATTATTACTATCCTGCATCATCGTCTGTAACTCTGATACCAAAACCCCCATTGGTTACTTGTATTTTCTATTATATTTCAGGATGATAAAGTCTGGAGTCTAATGGAGAAAGGTAAGAAACTGAAACACAGCTATGGTAAAGACAAAGCCTGTAGCAAAGTGTTTTTTTAACTGCAGATCTGATGTGGTTCAGTGGCTATACCGATGCAGTTTACCTCAACTGCAAGATAGATGCCAGCGTACTAAGATAAATAAAAAGTAAAAAGTAAAGTGTAGGTTATAAAAGCAAAAATATGCAACATTGTAGCTTAAAAGAGGAAGGACTGTGAATTTTGATCATCTCCATCTCTTACATTGTAACCGAGTTAGGAGGAGATCACTTGAACAGTAGGAACAATTTCAACGACCTTATGGGCAGTATTGTTTTCACTATTTTCCAGTGAACTTCTAATGAATGATTTACCGTGGACAAATTACATGCAGGGTCAAGGTTCAGTGCCAGTGCAGGAAGTAGCGAGGTGGAAAGTAAGGATGGAGAGGTTGGGGTGGGTCACATCTGACATTTGTGCCAGAGAGGAATGTTTGTTGTGTGTCAAAGATACTGTAAAAAAATATTTTTTACTGACTAACATCAATGAAATGGCAAATGTTTTGGTTAAACAGCATTATTCTTGTGTCTCTAAACCAGGGCAATATGCAGGGTCTGTGATGTATTGTATGTATGAATGTATAGCATTGTCTTGTTGAATATTGACTGTAAAGCCAATTGCCGGAAAAGAACATTAAATATCCATTCTAGTCTACTGCATTGACCCTCCAGCTTTTCTCTAAGAGGCTGTTGTACTGTTACTTAGCAGGGGATGTATGCAAAGAGAATACAAATTATAGCCAGGAGAAGAAAAAGTTTCACTTTTTCGTAGATCTCTATCATACAAGATCACACTAGGATACAGAAATATTACGGTAGTTTTATGTGCTGTGGTTCGAACCTTTCTTTTTCTTTGTATCAAGAGAAAGATGTCTTTGCTGTTTTGTATAAGTCATAAAAAGTAAATTACAAGTATAAAACAGAGGCATTTTGTAAGAAACAGGATTCAGCCTCCACCCTACACCCTGTAGAGAAATGTTGTGAAACCATACCCCTGATAAACCCCATGGTTTCCCACCTTACAGTCACCAGTGGACTGACGTGTGGCACTCTTCTCACCTCTTCTAAACCCCACTCAGACACAAGGTCAGGCCAGGGGTTAAATGGCTGTGTTGGTCCTTGCAAAACCCCCAGAATGGCTCATTGTCCAGAGGCCAGAGGGGTAGAGGGCACACGGTGAGGGGTGAAGCAAAGGGAGCACCACGCTACCCCCCAAGCCATAGGAGTCCTCGGTGTGACCCATACGGGTAGCTACAGCCACGTTTCATCTTTTGTTCTGTGTAATTTGGAAGGGTCATGAAGATAAGCAGAAAGTTGACCACTGTTTTAAGTGTTGGTGGTCCATCTTGCGTAGGAGCATCAATGTGTGTAAAGGGCTAGTGACATCGAAGGACTTGTGAAAATAGCTGGACGTTGTCTTTAGGATCACTACGTTCCTATATATCAGACAAAACAACAGGATAGCTAACATTCCTGACTGCTTCATGTCTGACAGGCTGATCAGCAGAGTGTAATATGACCTCTTGAAAATAGGCTTGCAGTCATTTATATTGTCTTATCCTGTTCAATTTGACTTTGGGGTGCCTTTCTTTTTCTTTTCGAGTGTGTTATAATTCATTTAGGGTTTCACCTTCTTCCTGTACTTTTTCCTTTCTCTTTTTTTCTTACGAGTGCTATCAAACATGAACTTACAGGCCAAACTTGTTTTTCTTGAGAATGTCTGGCACTTCCTCACTACAGATTTATTTTTAGGTAATCTGGTGTGGAATTAATAATTAATTGACACATTGAGAGAGAGCATGCTATCTATGACTTTGGAACTAAACCACATGGTGCATTCATTAACCTCTTTTTCCATGAGGACATCTCGAAGCCAAATCTGAAAATGAACAAATCCTCTCCTTCCTCGCTATGAACTGCTTCCAAGCTTCTTCAGAAATCAGCCCTCTTGACATTTCAAGTTTGTTACCTAACTAAGTGGAGAAATACATGTTGTTGATCCCTGGTGTCAGTATTAAAAGCAAATGTTATCTGAGTTAACAATACGCATCTCTGATCACAGATTTGTTTTCCTTAATGGGTCCATGATATCTCCAAAAAGGATCAACAGTCAATATTGGGGTCAGACATCAATCCAACCACTTTCTCTGACCACTGGTACCACCTGCACTCATCCACACTAGACACACAGCACACTGACATTACACCTGCACAAGCAGTCTCTTACCTGAGCTCCCTGCTGTGCTTTTGCTGTAAATCATAAGTCTGCTGAAGCTGATCCTGGCAGAATGTTAGGAAGCTGCCTGAGGCCAAGCTGACCTGTTGAACAGCAGGGGGCGATAGATAAGAGTCTGCCTCCTGGTCATCGATGCCCCTTAGGCCAGGTACTGCTTTCTGTAGAGTGGATCTGAAAAAGAGAGCAAACTAGATGAAATGTCATCTTCATGGCCTTCATTTTTTGGTTATTGCAATATTGACAAAAATTCTTATAGCCAAGAATTATGTTTTGCATATATATAAAAAAAAATAAAATGTGTAGTAATAAAATAACACTGAATTTATTTGAAAATGTAGCCATAAAAAGAACTAAGCTTACTAATATATTTAAATAATCTACTACCACTTTTTCAGCCGACACTGTCACATTTTAATCTTTTCAAATAACTATACTTCTGATGCTATTGTTCTACACAATAGTACTGCATTCAAGTGCATCCTTCTTGAGCACTTTAGTAAATACAAACAACTTGGTGAATCCTACGTTTTGAATAAACATCAATATATTCAAAGACGATCAAGGCCTTTGAGAGCGACAGAACTCAAAAAAAGAGGCTGAAATTTCAGATGAAAATGAGACTCAAGTTAGAGAGAGGGCTTCTGTCAGGGCTAAGGAATAAAGCATGAAGCTTTCACCAAGGGGTATAACTGTAAACCCATATTTACAGCTGTACAACTTAGTACACTGTACTTTTTGTCCTCTATACTAACCAGACTAATCTATTTACAGTGATTTAATGAACTTGCTGTACTTAATCCACTTGTATAAATGATCTGTCATCTGGAAAATCCAATCTGAATACATTTTGAGACAGTTAATGTAATTGTTATCTTTATATTGCTGTCTAAAAGTGCAGTCACACAGGCACTTTGGATAAAAATTTTAGTAGTAGTATCAGCCTTCAAACTGGAAGGAAGCTCTCAATGGCAGTGAGTCTGGGGAAGAGGTAACCACTGCCTGAGGCTAAGGATGTACAAGCAGAGGAATCCCAACTATCTGCCAGAGAAACAGACTCGGAGCGTCCACCAGTGGAGGCCAAATGTGGTCTGTGTTCAGTGGGAAAATGTGGAGCTGGAAACTCTACAGGACACTAGGGAACAGCAACAATAAAATCTGTAAAAATACAAGCCTTCAGGCTACAAAGTCGATTTTTTAAAACATTTCGAACAACTGGGTTTTTCAAAATTGATTCACAGAGCACCATATGCTCTTAAATCTTGTCCACCACGTCACCAGAGGAGGATAAAATGTGTAGAAGGCGAACCTTTCATTTCACCAGCTCATAAGGTTTTTGTGAATATTTCTTATTTTACAGGGTATCTTTTTATAGTACATGTGTATCTCAAGATGTTTTACCAATTAATGGCTATAATAGATTTCTAAGGGTATCTTGCTGGTTTATTTAAAACACAGCTCCTTCTTTTACTGTAATAATCAATTGTTCCCTCAACTAATAAATATGAAGCACAGAGCAAGTATTAAATCCAGTGAAAAAAATAAAGAAACAAACAAAGCTCATGGTGGAGTAATCTTAGTGCTTCAGGTGCCCTATTCTGATTCAGGTATGGATTGTGAACCCTTTTCTTCAGGCCCTTGTAGAGGATTTAAACCCATATACATGGTTCCTATGGTAGAAAATATGGTGGATAGAATGCAATTTTCTCGACCCTACTGCCACCCTGAGACAAAGACATGGCTGCAAAGGACTGGATCTGTGCACTGTCAGAGGGGATACGGTTTTGATGTGGCCCACTTGGTCTCTCCGACACAGATCGGGATTAGATTCCACCCCTTCGGGCATGTTGTCTGGCTGGCTGTCTTCAAATGAAGCTCCAAACCCAAATACAACCTTTTGATCGTTACATGAGCTCATTGAGGTGGGGAATGTAATTCAGTTCAGGAGTGGACGGTACTTAGACACACTTGAGAGAGCGCAGAGTAGACTTATGTACAGAATAATTAGATGCCATCAGTTGTGGTTGTTTACAATGAATGATTCTCATTAAAGAATAGGGGTAACTGAGTTTGCTGGTTTCAGAAAAATGTCTTTCTCTGTACCGTGTGAGTAAACTGTGCATTTGTCCCGACTGGTTAAATTTAACCAAATAAATGAAACTCCTAATTTTTCGGAAGGTAGGAGTCTTACAATTTAGACGCTATGAATCTCTTTACAACTATATCTACTTTGACTATACTTGGACTTCAACACTCACCATTCCTAAACTGATTTAAATGTCATCCCAGCAAATGCTGTTCTTTGCACACATTCCTTCATCCTCCTTCTCCAGCCCGTAAGGGTACAAGTCCGTATTTCATTTAGTGAAGACTTCCTCCAAAACACATTCTCTTAAAGTGGCCCTGATTAATCAGGCCCAGTGTTTTCGTCTTCCACGTCTCCTGCATCAGGGGCTGCCTACAGGGAGTGTAATTCTTAACGCTTGGCTTTTGGTGCTTTAATTTAGCCAGTGTTTTCACTGGCTCAGGATGAAAGGGCCAGGGCACGAATGCGGAAATACAGAGGGTTAATACCACTGTTGGCATTGGAGGTTAGGTAAAGTTCAAAGAAATACTGAGGTAATGTTTCAGTTAAGGCTTAAGATGGGTAAAACGTCCACAAGTAAGCCATGTTTTTAGGTTTTTGGACAGAGAATTACCCAATAAACAAGAGCAGAAATAAAAAATGTGAAATGTTATGTTGAAATTGTCAGCATTATTGAGCCAAATTGCCAGTAGTATATAAGACATGTGCAACTGACATTCAACCCTTCTCAGTTATGATGTTTATGATTTAAAGGTGCAAACCTAAAGTCCAAAAACTGACAGATGAAACCCCCTCAATGCAAGAGTGCAAATGCAGTTAGCTAAACAACCCACACAATTATTTTATACTGAAACATTCAGGGATATTTGAAGGGGCAAGGGAAGTATACTTTTACATATTTTGCTGTTACCAAATGGGTGTGAGTAGCTCTGAGGAGCCAAACAACTTTGCAAACCTGTAACAGCTGACATCATTGCTCATTACAGGCCCATAGACACACGATAAATGTAAGAGGTCATTGCATATTTTTCATATAAACTCACTGGAACTGTCTTAACATCGGTAAAATATTTAGGCACGATAAGTGAATGAGCAAATTGACACTGAAAAGATAATTGATTTTTCTGTTGTATCAATATTTTGGGAATTATGAGCACTTAGTGCAATGTACGTACACACGGGTTTCGGTGGCACGTCGAAGTAATCTAATAGCGGACGCGGATCACAGTGCTAATCCTAGGAAGTGAACAGGAAGGCATGTGTTCTGCTGGAATGTTTAGACTACCTCAGCCAATGGACCGAATTTGTGATAGAGAAATACTGACTTTTCACTGGTATGCTCCTTTGAGCATCCAACACGGCTAGTGATATTCAGAGCAAAGGAAGCTGAAACTGAAACTTTTGTCAAAAGAATTTCTAAATACACTATCTTGATTTGAAACTGTGTAGCTGGTACTGAGCAGGAGAGAGTACTAAAGTCAGATGTTAACAGCCATCCAGAACATTAAAGAGTACATTTAAACTTGCTTAATACAACAGAATTGCCTTATTTGTCCAGCAAGCAGGTACATACAGGTTAGAAAACAATGTATTTAGATAGAACAGAACAGTAGCCCATATAATTTGCTCTACTTCCTCCATCCAGACCTTGCCTTACCTCCAGCCACTCTCCTGCTCAACAGGATTCCCTGTGAGGTGGACCTTTTGCAGGAACTGACATTCCTTCAGACTCTCACACACGTTCTGGAGCTCTGAGAAGGAAGTATAAAAAAACTTTACCACGTCAATGTCCATTTTTCAGTATATTGCTCATTTTCACCAGCATCTTATGTAGTTAGGCAGAGCTATACGAACTAGAGATGTATTTATGCATCTTATTTATATGGAGTCATATACTGTACTTGGACAGCATGCCTAAAGCCAATATGAAACTAGCAGTGTCATATAAAAGGTAAAATCAACAAAATATAAAATCATTAGTTAAAGTTAAGTCAGCAAAAAAGAAGATAAAACACAGGTTTTGAATTTGTCCACGAGGAAAATTTAAATAGTCTGTTCAATCAAGACAAGCTGTTACCTGACACACAGTTGAATCGAAGATCCAGATTCGCAAGGGACACAAAGTCAGACATGGAGGGCAGCTGGGTGATTCTACAAAACACAGAGACAAATTACAACCCTTATGAAAGCTACACTGCATCATTAGAAACAGAAACATTCTGAAATTATGTGACTGTTTTTTACGCCTAAAAAAATAGGCTAGTTAGAAGTTTTAATGTTTTATATCAAATTATGAAAACAAAAAAAGAATGTTATTTTCTCCGTTGTGTTTCTTTCACATAACGAGTCTTAAGCAAAGACTGATATCAATCAGGACTAGAAGAATATACCTGTTTTGGGCCACAGAGAGATGTTGCATGAGGGGCAGCCAGCAAGCAATGAGACCCTGCAGGGAGGAGATGCTGTTGTCGTCTAGATGTAGCTCTCTGAGGAGGACCTGGTTGTTCAGACTGGGTGGCTGATGGACAAACGGGGTGAAGTTGTCAGTTAACACTGGTCACAGTGGGGTTAGACTAACTTCATGCTGCTGCTGCTGCTGATCCAGCGGTGCCTAAATGACCCCGTCCATCAATGTCAGTTGCTTTAGTCCTGCTGTGATTACAGTCATCAATGTCTGCCACAATTTAAACTCTGCTGTGATTCAGGGGTGCCTTAGGAAACACTAAAATTGTGTAATATTTTCATACTAATTACTTTTGTGTGTCTGTACTTTTATTTTTCATGTATTCTTTTTCTTTTTTTATGTCCCATCAAGTGATTACCAGTGAGTTACTCTGCCAAAGAAAGAAAGAAAGTCTCAGTAATTAGTAATCAGTGATTAATTAGTAGGACATTCTCTTTAAATGTAGAGTATTCTCATAGGAGACTATTGTTGACTACTGTTGTAGTAGTGTAGTTTGAAGTGTGTTTTATGATTATCTGTGAGGTAAAATTGCAGGTTTTGTCAATGGAGTCTGGTGGGCCGTAACGCTCTTTTGGTTTGGTCTGAGATGCTGGTGTTCTAGTGGCAGTAAATGTCGCATATATATAATTTTTAAGGTCAGTAAGAGGGCCCTGGCATTATGCATGCTAACTCTCAAATGAAGCCTGTGCAATGGACAAATTCAAGAATGCACTTCATGCCTCAGTTTAATGTTTCTGAGACAGGCAGGCCTAAGTTCACCTTTTCTCGAATGCAAATTTGCATTGCAAGTGTGTGGAGCTATTGGCCTGTTCTGTACAATATTACACTCGGCATCCTCACTCTCGGATCACATCCATTCCTGGCAATGTGATGTTCGTTTATTTCATCAATCAATCTAAACTGCTTATTCAGTTCAGTTCAGCTGGTCAAATCATATTGTGTGAAAGATTTTTAATATTCTTTTGAATTTTAGATTTTGTTTTGTTATTTGGGGTAAACTTTGAAAATGTTCCATAAGAGGCCATAACATTCATTTGCAGTGCAATGTGTACTGCAGCTTGTGGTTTTTGTGAAGACAATCTGCTCAACCATCTGTTCAAGGTGATAATGTGAGCCTCCAACTTGGCTTCCTCTCATGAGTTGCTGATTTACATAAATCAGTTCATATGTATCTGTAACACTTCTGAGCTTTTGTTTTCAATTTCTGACACCCATACCAGATGTTTTTTAATCATTATGACTCATAATAATAATGTCATTATCACCTGTCAGAAATGAAGTTTTGGGTTTGTGATTATAAAACCAATGAAGGGAATCTTGTGTTATATTTTAATTTCTGCATCTTCGGTGAAAAAAAAAAGGAAAAAATCTAGTTATGTGCAGAAAACAAACATTGTCCATCTTTTGATTTCTGCATATAACTCGAAATTAGCTTTTTCATGGGTATCCCTACATAGAAATCATTTACATCCCTACTAGATTCATCCCTACAGAATTTTGTGGGACTAATTCAATAAAACCTGCTGAGTTACCCCAACCTCAACCCCCTCGAACATCCAAATCAGTTTTTTATACAGGTCTCAGAACCAGTGCCATAACGTGTAGCTGTTTTCTCTTTACCTCAGTAAGGCTGTTGGCTCTCAGGTCCAGTGTGTTGAGTAGAGCACTGTTCTCCAGACCCTCCACACTTGCCAGATGGTTGTGTGAGCAGTTCAGGTGGAGGAGTGTGTATACGTCCCTCAGTCCTTTGGTGCTGATCAACTGGTTGTGATCCACTGACAACCTCTGCAATCTCTTCACAGACTCCAGACCAGCTAGGGATGAGAAATGAGAAGCCACTTATTCAGAATGGAAAACAGCACCAGGTGAGTCTGCATCTAACTTACCGCTCATAGCAAAGCTTTACGCATGTTTAAAAACTTAATTTGAAATAAGACAGTGGCAAAAATCCCTACCTATGTAGAGGTGAGTCACAACAAAATGTTACAGTAGCTGAATGTACAATTCAATGCGTTTAACCTCTTGCCTGGCCAATATCTTTTTATGACTATAACGCAAGGCTCAAGTTGACTTCAGTAAATAAATCACTTTTCAGTGCATACTGCAGTAAAGTGAATGAAGTGCAGGGCTGAAAAGAAGAGAGATGCTGCCCACTAGTGGTGTACTGCAGGAGTTCAGGCTCGTCAAGGTTCACTTACACAAAACATCTTAGGGCTGCTACGTTAATCATTCAAACTACAAACAATTGGAGACCTCAAATATGACACAATCACACACTATAGTGACAGCAAACTGTTATCTGTTATTTGATTTTTTTACAACAAACATCCCAAAAAATCAATATTAGTGTTTCAGAATTTGCAGCTCTCACCGATGCGGGTGAGGGAGTTGTGCGAGAGGTCTAGAACATCCAGATTTTCAGCACCAGTTAAACCGTGGATTGACGTCAGCTTGTTGTGGCCAAGCTGAAGCACTCGTAAACTAGCCATGTTTTCACAGTCGACATATGAGATGTCGTTTTCCTGTGACAAAACAAATGAAGATCTTAGGAGACAACAAAATCTGCCTGTATTGATTTTTACCTACTAGAAAAATATACTGATTTAACTGAAAACAAGAACAGCAGTACCCAATAGCACAGAATAGCGGTAAGTAAAGATCTTGGATTACTTAATGTGGCATTAAGATAAAAACCTATGATTATGAACTGATTTTCCACCTGTACATCGATGTAGCAGAGCTGTGCTAACTGGTTGATGCCTTCCAGGGATTTGAGACCACAACGTCTGAGGCTGATGGACTGAAGCTGAGTACACAGAGCGAGAGTGGATAAGCTACAGCCAGACAAGTCCTCCAGGGTCACCGTGGTAACCTGAAAGAGAGGCGAATACGCTTAAGGGCTCAGGACTTGGAGAGGGTTGCCCTAACCCTAACCCTAACCATGTCTGAGAATAATTTTTTCAGTGATGAGAGGGAACTGCCACCAAATATATAAAGTATTGGCACTTTTAAATTCCCCAGACTCACATGTCATAAATGGTATTGTCAATGTGTCTGTATCACAGCTGAGCATTTACCTGCTGCAGGGATTTCCAGCCCGTGGACTGAAGCAGGGAGTCTGGGCAGAGAGGTGGCAGACCGACAGCTTCGGGAACCCTCCTCGGCCATCTCTGACTCCGGACAGATTCTCTCTGCTTCCTCCTGTTCTGGAGGGAGAGTTTGGACCAGGGGATGCAATCCTTCATCCATGACAGCCTCTTCTGCTCTGTGTGCTCGGGGAGGCTCACAGGTAAAGAAAGATTCACAGTGGAAGGCCTTGCTGCTGGATTTTGGCAGTCCACAGTTTCTACGGACGTCTCGTTGCATGGTATGGCATCAGTGCTGGTGGGACAGACTGTGGACTCATTATGTAATGAAGCAGGGCTTGGGGAAGTCCATGTGGGGCCGTCTTCAGGTTGTGAGTTTCCTGCTTTATCTATGTAATAGTTTTCATTTCGACCTATCGTGCTGTTATGCTCCATTTTCTCCTGCAGCTCATTTGCTCTTGTAACGCTCACCTCCTTTTCCTGCACCGTTCTCTTTTCGCTCTCCTCCTTTTCTTTGAGCCGCATTTCATCTTCCGTTTTTGGGTTAACGTCGTCCCCCTCTTCCCCATTCTGCTCCTTCTTTGCCTCCACATTTTTCCTTTCCTCCTCCCGCTTCTTCTCTTTATCTTTTGTTTTGCTCTCATGTCCCATCTTTCTGCACTCCACATCATAGCCTTCATACCCCTCCTTGTCTTCCTTGAGCTTCATTTCTTCAGATTTTTTGTCCTCCTCTTCTTCTTTCTGTCTCCTCGTGTCTTCTAGAATTAGTTCTTCTTCCATTTTTCTATTTTCCCGCTCCTCTTTTTTCTCCATTGCCACCTCCTTCTCCTCCACCTCCATTTTTTTCCTATCCTCTTCTCCCATCTGAGCCAGCTTTTTTCCATTATCAGTCTCCTCGTCCTTATTTTTCCTCACCTCACTCTCTTTAATTATTCTCCCCTCTTCATCTATTCTCATATTATACTCTTCCTTCTCTTTTCTGTCCTCCTCTTCATCTTTCTGTCTCATCTCTTCTTTCTGCCTCCTCCTCCATTTTTCCTCTTTTGGTTTCCTTTCAGCTTCCCTTTTCCTCTTCTCATCCTCTTCAATGAGTCTTAGTTCTTCTTTCATTTTTCTATTTTCCTCCTCCTGTTTTCTTACCACATCCTTCACCTCCTTCTCCTTCATCTTTTTTCTTTCATTCTTCCTTGCCTCCTCTTTCTCCTCCACCTCCCTCTTTTTCCTATCTTCTTCCATCTGAGCCATCCTTTGTCTATCATCGGCCTCCTCCTCCTCCTCTTTCTTTTTCCTGATCTCCTCCTGCTTCTTCCTCACCTCACTCTCCTTAATTACTCTCCCCTTTTCCTCTATTCTCATATTATCCTCTTCTTTCTTTTTTCCGTCCTCCTCCTTTTTCAGGCTAATTTCTTCCTCCATGTTTCTCTCCATCTCCTTCCTTGCCTCTTCTAACACTTCTCTTTCCTCCTCCCTCTGCCCCTTCTCCTCTTTCTTTATCCTCTCCACCTCCTCTTTGTTTTCTCTCTCTTCTTTCTCCTTCATCATCCTCATCTTATCCTCCAGCTTCTTCTTTTCCGAATCAATCCTGTTTCTTTCCTCTTCTCTCTTCTGCTTTTCCTCCCTCTCCATCCTCCTTTTTTTCTCTTCCTCATTTTTCCTCTTTTCTTTTTTAAGTTCCAGTTCCCGTTTCCTCTTGTCCTCCTCATCCTTCATTCTCTTCTGCTCCTCTTCCCTCATCCTCCTTTCTTCCTCCACTCGTCGCTGTAAGTTGCTGATCAGTTCCTAATTGGTAAAGAAAGTCACTACAGTTACAACAATGCAACTTGTTCCATTTCATTAAAAACATTATATTGCAGGTACCTAAAACAAGGCACATGTAAATTGCAAAAAAATAAAAAACCTAAACACCTTAAGTAAATGACCCCTAAACAGTAGTTTAATAGTAGTTTAATCTGGTATTTAAGGTCAGAACTTCTGATGTGAGAGGTCAAACAGGCAAAAGGAGCGGTGTTTTTCCACATACTCTCACTGTGCTGATTCCAAGTTATTAAAATAATGAGGACTTCAGAATATTAGTTTTGTTAGGAAGTCCCAGTACTTAACCAGGGAGGATGCTTAACCAGTGATGGCCTCTGCGGGATCACTATCTGGTGAATAATGCAATAAGATCCAGACCTACCTGCTGAAGCAGAAACTCCTGTTCAAGTTTTTCATGAGCTCTCTTCTCCATCAACTCAAATTCCTTCTGATGGAGCTACATACAGAGAGCAATAATAAGATTAAATGATTAAACATGATAATGGGATGAAATACATTTTACGGTTTTTCAAATCTGGATTTTATCTTTGATATATTTCTTCACACAGCATACAGGTCTCAATGGCTATCTACTATCTATCAAACTATCTATCTTGTCTTTATTAAGTTCCCCTCCACTTGTTCTTTTGGAGGCGCTCTCCCACTACAGCCTGATATTTCTTGAAAAGACAAGAAGGCAGTATCCTTCTCAAGAGCTCTTGAGCAAGTTGGTGATTTTCTTAGGCTGTCTCTTTCCTTAATTCCCTAAAAAACTAATACATATATTATTTGACATATTTGAATTAACAGGTTGTATTTTCCTATTCTCAGTAAGACGTATGTAAGACAAATTCCTTCACAGCGAGGGATTACCAATTTGCTCACCTGAAATACCAAGACCTACATCTGCTATATTAAGAATTATTATGACAAGTAATCATGTTGAGTAAAAGAGAGAAAGTCCACAGCGACTCGCCTTCTCTGCCTCCATTATCTTCCTCAGCTCCTTCTGGAAGTCTTTTTCCGTTTGTTTCTTTTGCTCTTCCCTCTTAATCTCCTCAAGGTGTCGTTTCTCTCGCTCTGCCTTGTATTCACTGCTTTTCTTACTCTCCTCTTCTTTCAGTGAGCGCTCAAGGGTCCTCACTTCAAAGGCCAAGTGCTTCTCACCGTCCATATATCCGTCTGTTCCAGCTTCATCTGTGACAAGTACAAAAACTTGAGCCTTTCATAGTAGTTTAGCAAGAAGGAAAACAACCAAAAGCACTTGTCACTCCTTTTATCTGCCTTCCCTGCCACCCTCTATTGCACACTACGCATAAAGAAGAGCATATATAATCACGAGTGATTCAGGCAACACTTGGGCAGGTCAGTGGGAATACAAGTCATTCTTCAGAGTTGTGTCAAAACTAGACTGGTGGTGTAGCAATTGTGGTCTTTCAAAATTTAAACACTGTAAATAAATTAGAGCATTTCTGCTCAAACACTATATATATATATATTTCTATGTCAAGATTTTGCCAAATAAGTAGGGCCACACAATTAATTTAAATATTATTAAAACCACAATGAGTCCAAGTGAAAAATCCAAATCCCAGAAGCTGTAATTTCTCGATGAAGGTAAAATAAACAGCATTATAATGAAGTACTGTAGTGCTGCAGAGATCCCCTGGTCTGCAAATCTTGTTCTCCAGATGTAAGAACATGTGTTTGTTTTGTACAGACCCCCAACAAATGTCACAAACTGTGATGCAAAAATGATTATTCCCACTAATCGTGAATCATATTACAATGGTAAAATCTGTCAAAATAATCACAATGGGATTTTTTTGTTTTACCATATTGTGCAGCTTCATCATCATCACAGTTTAAATCACTGACAAGATTTAAGACCTGCACTTGTAAAAAGAAACCCTCTACTCTCTGTTTAAAACATAGGGTTGGGTTGGCTGTTACATCTTCGTCATCAATAATATAGAACAACAGTGACCTCTTGTGGGCAACTGTTCTATCGCCAAAGAATCTGAGTGCATTATCAGACCTTCAGCAAGGGCTCAGCAGTGCAATGTAAAAGGAACAGAGAGGAAAGAGAGCATCAATTTTCATAACACCCGTGCAGTTAACTACAATGTTTAACATGTCAAGCCATGTTCGTCCACTTTGAACTCACATCGTGTCACTCAGACAGAAGTTAATATTGTGCTTTTATTAAATATCAAAATTATTTTTATCCACAGCTGAGTTCATAAGTGTTACGCACTTAGTGTTGCCTGAAATATGTGTGTGGCTCAAATAAAGTCAGGCTGCACCATGTGACCATTCTTCTCAGTTTACAAAACTCTCAAGCATCGTCACTTCATTTTTCTAAACATGTACTGTACCTTTGTTGTTGGGGCACACTGACACATTGTGAGAGAAATGTGCTTCTGTCTCTGTGGGTGCAGGAAGAAGGTGGGTGCTGTTCTCCTTATTTACTGCATCACAAGTGACCTGTATCAAACAACACATACATTTAGAGTCGTTTTCCACAACTTGCGGACCCATTGTATTTTGGATGGTTCATGCAGTGAGGGGACTTGAGACTCGTAAAGAGAGACATTTACCTGCCCATTTAGTTTCATCATGTCCTTATCAAGTTTGTTAGGTAAGTTCATCATGTCCTCAGTGTGATGCCATGCAGTGAAGTCTGTGATGCAATTCAGAAAACACAGATATCATCATTATCGTGAGAAACAAACACAGCCATGGCATTACTTCAAGTTCTTTTTATTGTAAATATGTAGATATGTGTTACCGTTAACTGATAAATCTCAAAAGTGTCAGATAAGATTAGTAAACGGCTAATTCCCTGCCCTCGCCACGGTGAAGCAGTGGTGTTGCATGATGTGCTTTTGCCATTCAGCCCGTCGGCATACCTTCAGCTTCCTCAAGGATGAGCTTCTCGCAAACTGCTGCTCTGCTTTTTGAGGTTTCAAAGTAGCTGAGCAGAGATGGTGGAATGGCATCTAAATCCTACAGTCAGAAAGTTGGTTTATGTTAGTTTGGTCTCATCACAAAAGGTAAATGTTAATTCTAAGACTTGTACCTACCTAAACATCCAAACACTAAGCAGTAGCCTGTGTGCTTTGTGTGAAATACGGTAGGTCAGTTACAGTGCTCTCAGGTTATCCATAATTCATCTGTTACTGCATCTCCTCCACTGTGAATGTTTTAATATATGCCAAATACATTTTCTTGAGGGTTTTGCCATGCCTTTACACAAATACACAGTTAAATTGTACAGAAGGCATGGCAAGTTAAACCTTAAACTCTGACCATCTTCTAATGATCATTTAATCATGTCATTCAGTCAGCAGGAGGCCGTACTTACCGCCTCTTCTTTACTTCCATCACTATCACAGTTTACTCCATCATTCAGCTCCTGCATGCTGCTCTCACACAGCTCGGTACAATCCGCCATGGTTTTAAAAGCTCAGCGACTCTTCGGCCATTTGTCTTCAGGAGGTTATGTTACGTTGTTGTTGTTGTTGTTGTTGTTGTCCTCCGCAGTGCGCACAGCTGCTGTGTATCTCAACGCTATGCTGTTTAGCACGTTGGAGCTAATTGAACATTTGCTAGCATGCGAAACAAGTGGTCTCCATGGAAACCACACTGGGAACTACGCCGCTTCGCTAGGGACAAACTGTGCAAAAGGCAAAGGGAAAGTTTGAGATTCTTTAAGGCGTGTCCTTGTAACTCAGATATACCAACTATTATTGTGCTATTTCTTTCAATTACACCTTTACCATTTGTATTTTTAAATGATTATAATTGAAACCGAACTCTGGTATATTGATATTTTACATTTATATTTTACTGGTATTGTTTTCTGTATAGCTGTTTGTACATTGTTAATTTAAGAAAAAAAGGGAAAATGGACATACTGTAGGTTTCAGGTAAAAATCCTAGCAGTAATATTAAAATGGTTATTGTCATTATTCTCCTACTCACAGTTTAAATCTTTCCACACTTGATAACTAGTGTCACACTTTATACAATAACCAATCTGAGAACAACAGCATTGCTTCACTAAATTGTCATGGACTTGTGTGGGCATTCTGGGCAGCCAGCTAGAATGGGTCAGTGAGCCTGAGACCTTGTAGGTGAATCACAGGACCAGAAGAACAAAAATATGTGCGAGGCTGTGAACAATGCACACTTTTTCTTTGGCATTTCTGATCACAAAGACCGGTTCCTCTCTCCCGCGGTGAAGTCTCTGCACTCGTGCTGTACTCCTTCTCTTTGAGGAGATTCCAGTGGCCCACACAGGTTGTCCCATACACATTCCCGAGGGCTTTCTAAAAGGAACCCAGTCTCCTTCCTCAAAGTTTCAAAGAAGAACAACGTGTCCTCCATCCCAAACTGTTTGCTCCGGAGACACACTGAGGCCTGTTGTCCTCTTTGGTGACGGTCCAGGACGAAAACAAAACAACAGAATGGCGCCAGATCAGACTACTCTTTCCTTCAAAGCCCAAAACTGAATTCCACAATGACAATGAAAGGCACCACATCTACAACACCTACAAGGTCAACACCTTCCAAACCTTCACAGGTCCAGCAGATACAAGCTTTCATAAAGGTCATTAGGGGTCAAAGCACAACTTCAGTCCTCAGGCTGATGGGCAGAAACAGGACACTTTGGTGTTGCCCCCGTTGTTGAAGTCAAACTGCCTGTCCCTTATGTTTCATTAGGTCCCCTAAGATTCATTGACCAAGTTCAATTGCTTAAAAAGGCTCCATCAGCAAGCCTTGTCCACTCCGATTAGGGCCAGGCCCTTTGTCAGTGGGCAAGGTGTCCGTCGCTTTTGTCCAAGTGCACAGAACCCAGACAGCAGCCAGACAGGGCCAAGCTGCAGATTTATACAGCAGATTATGCCAGTCAATGGCGGCTCCGGCCCAAACGCAGTAGTGGTTTGGATAGCAGCCGTATGTTTACACTGTCAAGGGTTTTCTGTTACTCGTCTGTAGCCATTATCTTGGCAGCCATTGGGCCTATCAAGCCTATCATTTCCATCTGGGGGCTTTGACGAAAGAAGGGATTGGAGGAAAAAATGACCACCATCCCAAACAATCCTTTAACGTTCTATTACTGCCCATTTTGAACGCAACATTTCTGACTCGTAACATTTCTGACTTTGTCTCGTGTCTCATGTATATACCTTGTTTAATCCATTTAGCATATTTATTAATTGTGGATTTAATCAACCACAAGAACCAAAATACCATCCAGAAATCATATATTTTCCATGCATGAACTCAAGCTGACATTTCAAACCCCAGTGGGAGGGAAATGGATGATTCTTCTCAATACTCTGAGGCAGATTATAGGCTTCTGAGAATAAGGCAACTTGTATGTGGACCTGATGGTAAGTTTGAACATATTAGGTGCACGTGAGGGGGGGAAATAGTTAAGCGAGCTAATCCTGAACGAATGCTGCTGTAAGCCTAATCATTCCTATGTTGCATTCTTGTAGTTATCTGTCAAGTCAAATTCTTGCTTGTACAACCAATATCTGATGTTGGTTTTTCACAAATTTCTAAAGATATTCCTGCACAACACTGGCTTCAATTTGTGAAGTTCAACCAGTTCATCCTCAACACCCTAATAACCGAGATTATGTCTCTTTCAGTGGGATGACAACAGCAGTGAATCGGTTGGACTTGAATACAGGTTTGGATTGCCTTTCAAAGATATAATTACGCTGCCAGTGTGACCTTAGTACATCTAAATCTGCTTCAAATGACTGTGGGATTACTGTAATCACAATTCCCCCTAACAAGCTGGGGGCTGAGAGGAATCTGCTCCAGGTTTAATGAGTTACAGGTCCACTAGTTTTTATTCATCATTTAGACACTTCTTCCAAGTTATTTGTATGTGGTATTTGTGGTATATGTGGTATTACATGGTTCACACATTTTTTCAAGGTTAAATCTGAACATTTTTATACGTCTTCTCTGCAAATATCAGTCACATGCTGAGAACAACATTTCCCCACAGGGCAATCAATGGTAACATTGACAACCAGGGGCAAGATGAAATGTGAGCCCTTTTGTTTACTTTGTAAGGGACTGAATACATGTAGAAAGAATATCTCAAGCTATACTGTATTTTGTGCTGAGCCACTGCAGTCTATGTGAAGACACCCACTGTGTAAAGGCAGAATGGCTCTCAGAGACAAACTGTAGAGGATACTCTAAATGCAACATTTCAAAATAACAAAACATGCAGACTAGATAATGAAATAGATTATTTTATTTTCTAGATGAAGCTCTGATCACTGTATGTAGTAATCTGTCGGTAGTATGGAGTAAGTTTGTCTTTGTAAAGGTAGAGGAACTATTGAACTATTGAACAGTGCAGACAATCATAAGAGTGCAGTGCAGAATCTGCTTACTTAGTATTCTTACATGCAGAAACATTTATTCAATTACGTGAACATTGCATCGATATTGACTGGTGGTTGTTGGTAACTTTTTAGGAAGTAACAGCCTTTGTTTTTCATACTGGTTCTGAAAAGTGTTCATATGCTGTATTGGAGGGTTTTCCGATCTACAGTAGAGAATATCTTGAATGCAGTCTTGAGATTATATCAAAGGTTGGAGTGGGTTTCACCTGCTTGCATCTCTCTGAAGTACTAAATGGATGGAATTTACAGCATTCAAATCACTGATACATAGTGACATTTAATCATGTATTGTGATTTTCTGACAATCGTTGCATGGAAATACCCACCCACGTGGTGCCTAAGAGGGATAAAACAAACCATAAAGAGGGCACTTGGCCCGGGTCTGGTGTTAGTGCTGTGATGTACTCCATTGGGTCCCATGACTTGTTCTTGGCCTTGTGTCACAGGACAGTTCCTAGTGAGAGACGAAAGGAGGCTTTGCTGCAGTTAATCCTCTCTTTGAAAAGCATCTCCACCTCCAGCCAGCGAGCTGCAGAGATGAGCCTGAGCCAAATTACCTGTGAGTGTGCGTGTGTTGTGAATATCCAGGTGGACTTCGATGTCATATGTCACATGTCATATTCCATATTCCTCTATATAATCATGTTGTTAGAACATTTTCATAACATTTTGTGGTTCACTCTTCATATATCTAAATGATTGATATCAGATAAAATGTTACCCAAAGCTGCCAGAAAATTACTGAAATCCTGTCAAAATACTTGACAATGATTTAGTTAATGCAGCATCATTGACACATGATTCATTTGTTATCTTTACCTGCTTATCCTTTGCAGGGTCGTAGGGGACTAGAGCCCACACCAGCCCTCACTGGGCATAAATCTTAGGCAGGTCCCCAGTCTATATCAGGACTAACATACATAGCCAGATAACTATTTACACTCACAATGCCATCTATGGGTAATTTGAAGTCTCCTAACCTGCATGCTGAACTGAGGGAGGAAATTGTTGCACCTGGAGGGAAATCTTTCAGACACAGGAAGAAATAAACAAAGCACACTCCAGGCCACAGCCAGCCGGTTCTCTATTCAAACCATTAATCACTGCACCATTTGCTCCACTATGCTGCTGTGAAATATCTGAATATTTCACCCACCTCTCTCCATTTTTTCTAATATTATTGGAGTAACTGTGGTGATCAAACTTTACAACAGTAATAATGACAGTGTGGCATTATACTGTACAGAAACTGGCACCGTACCATGCAATACCATGGACCATCTGAATAGATCTATTCATTTCCTTTACAATCAAACTACCATTATGCTTTTTCTTGGTCTGAGCGTGCAGGCCAAGACCTTTTTAAATATATTTAAGTAATAGGCCAATTTGAAATTATGTGAGTCACGTCTAGAATTCTACATTTTTGATTGTTTAACACAGAAATTGAAGTTATGTGTTTCATGTGTCCATTTTATTTGGAATTAAATTAAGGTAATATAGAAGAGCAGCAAGAACCACTACAGATGAACAGATAAAGAAAAGAGTGAGCAATGATTGGTACTTCCAACATTATTGGTCCTTGAACCTGTTATTATAATCTCGCCCTGATGCAGAGGTCGTGCCAGCTCACAGAATGACATATGAGCCCCGGGATACACAAGTCAAAAACCTGACCTGTGCCAAGACTACCAGCTGCAGCTACTGTATGACATATGAGGTGGCAGGATGTTACTACAGATCTGTAGTCAGTTGTTCTACGAAAGTAAAGGGATAGCTTGGAAACAAAGGCTTGGAAAAAAAAAATCCCTCGGGTGAAAGAAAAACGCCCTTGAGTAACCCACAGTTAAAAACTTGGACACTTTGACTCAGACAAGACACAACATGGTGGGAGCAGATAGCATTTATCAACATCTAATGTTTCCATTCTTATGTTCAACCATCCAAACTCCAGCCAATAGCACTTCTCATGGCCTCGCTCTCTCAATTTGACTCTTGTCTCCACACAAAACACACAAAACTGAATCAAAGCTGTTAGGGTGGACGTCACTGTTGCCTCGCCACTAATTGTTTTCTTTCTTTTTATCAGAGCAGATTTGAGCTGCGCATTGCATATAATAGCACTCAAAGCAGCTCCCAGACAGCACATGAAATACACTTTGTTTTCCCTGGGTGAACACGGTGCTTTT